CCAGGAGAGAGAAAACCTCAGGAGAAGCACAGCCCACACATTTCTCATGGGCACACGTGGCAGCGCTGGGAAGCCAGGGGCCTTGAGCAAGCAGTATTAGTGTACCCGATTTTCAGAAGGCAAACGAAGGCACAGACCCTGCGTGTTTACCTGATTTAATCTTTAGAGAAGATTTTCTTGATAACATCTAGTATCTATCTTCTAGTCTGAACTTTCTATTCCCTGGTACCAATTCCAAATGCAAACCCAATCCTAGATTCACATAAACCAAAGTGTGGGTTTAGGAGGAATAGCTCAGCGTCTATTTTAGCTTTGGGCCTGTGGTTGTTACAGTTTCCCTTCCCAATAAGGAGCACCAGGTTGGAAGTTACGAGTTTGCGGACAGGCAGGAGTCTCAATGACTCTCTCCCAAATTCTCCTAAAGAAAACACTGACCCTGAAGGATGTGCTGGCAGAAAACCAGCCAAACAGTCAGTGAGAGCACCCGACTGGTCAAACCGGCCACTCAGTCAATATTAGCAAAGTCAGATGCACAGTGATAGTTTGGTAAGGAGTCTGTGTTCAGAATAATTATCAGAAACTTTACTGAAGTCTCTAGGATTTGGATTATGTAGAAAGAAAAGCCGACTGTAAACAGTTGGAGACCGAATAGGGCCCAGCTGCTGAAACCCAAGAATAAACATCTGTTTCTTATCACGGCTTCTTAAGAGATAGGAGGAGGGTGGCCTGAAACGCATTTCATATTTATGGGGCAACTGCGTCATGAGATCCGCAGACAGCAAATCGAGCTGAGAAAAGGAGAAACAAAACCCAGTACAAGAGGGAAGGCTCTACCCGCTTGGTTGACAAGGGGGTCCATGGTTGGAGGCTTGCCGAGGCCTGGACGGAGTCCTGGAGTCGCGCTGGTGCCCGGCGTTGGCATGTCGCTCCGAGGCGTCGGTGTGCTGGATTTCAGAACAGGCGTGCTGGCTTTTTCATGCTGGTATCATTAAACAAATTAAATGAGTATTATTTTTAATCCAAGCCATATTACACAATTTATCACAACAGCAGCTGGGACACTGGGCACCTTCTAGCTACTCCCTCAGCCAATTTTCATAAATCCACACAATGTTGACAGCATTAACTTGTGAGCGAGAAATGTTGACCTTTCCTCTTCCTGCCAGAATTAAAACTTGAGCTAGAGACACAGAACATGATCACACTTCTTCCTCCGCAGATTTTATTTTAAAAAGTATTTTCCATCAGGCCTGTGGACTTTGGATCTATGCCAAGTTAGAATGATGACCACCCAGAGAACAGTTCCCAGTCACTCAGAAACAAACACCCTGGCTGCCAAAAATGTCTGAGGGAAGACCCCTTTTCTAATTTCACCTCTAGGTAGTGGGGACCAGTGGTGAGAGGCATCAATTTTATAAGAGGCGAGCCAGAATCGATTTTATGTGAAGCTGTCCATTTTATGAGAAGTCAGCCAGTATATCTAGGGCAAAAGCTCTAGAATTAGCTTTTTTTTTTAGAGATACAAGCCTAAAAAGAATGTAACCTTTGGAGTTAAGTTTACAACCTACTTATCTACATAATGTGGACCCACCACTGCAGGTGAGAGACTCAACACCAACCAGAGCCTTCAGGAAGAAAGACAGTGACAGGGTTCCAGGGAATCTGCTTTAACCTCTCAGCCTTTTACAGTCTTTAAAACACAGTCTAAGAACCACTACAGTGAGGCAAAGAACATGGGCCGGAAAGAGGCCACCGTTCTCTCTGGCCTTGGATCTTGGGCCAGGGCAGCTCAGCTTTGGCTGGTTACAAAGGCTTTCCTCTCCATCAATGAAATGGGATAATGTGATGGGGGACTTTTAGGCTCAAGTGCAGAGTGGTTATGCTGTGAGAGTTAAGAGACGACCAAACTCCATTTGTAGAACAGGGCCAGCAGGTAGCATGGTGGTTAAGGGAGCTGAACACACATAGGGTCGACTGCGGTTCAAATCCTGCACCTGGGGGCTTGCTTTCTCACTTTCTCTCTTTCTCTTTCTCTCTCTCTCTCTGTCCCTCTCTGGTCAAATTTAAATAAATGAATAAAGTTAAATAAAATAATTCTTTAAAATAAACAAATAAATAAAGTTTGTAGAATGAATCAATGAATGATCACATGAGTGGGCTCTGATGCAACTCCCCAGTACCAGTTTCAGAGTTCCCCTAGGGCCTCAGGGCTCTGACAAGCTCCCTAATATTAAGTCATGCTCTACAACATGCTTAATATAATGGAGTCGGTTTACCAGGTAATGGCAAGGTTAAGAAAATGAGAACATCTTAGGACTGAAGAGGTTTGAATTGTTTGCCACCTGAGACGTTTCAGAGAGTACCGTGCCCAAGGACACATCCTCCTGTAACAAGGCAATGGACAGGGCAGCCTGCTCAGCTGCTCTAACTAAGGCCCCAAAGAGACAACCAAGGAGAAAAGTAAACACCAAATAGAGATGAAGAACAAAAGGTCAAGGTGCACTTTAAAACACAAATGCAGGACCAGCAGGTGGTGTGGTGGTTAAGGTGCTGGACTCCCACAAGGCCAACTATGGTCTGAGTCCCAGACCTGGCAGTTTGCTTTCTCACTTTGCCTCTCTCACTCTCTCTATAGTGAACTACTGGGTGGTTGGAAAAGTCACGACGTATTCTTCTATGTTTCTCTATGCCACAATGTGTCATGACTTTTCCAACCACCCAATAGAAGTAACAATAATAATTAAATAATTCTAAAAACAACAACAACAAAAAACACCCCCCCCCAAAAAATAAATATATCTCTCAAGCACCAAATAAATACTCTAGATTTTAAATACTTCGGGATTCTCTGGTCAACAAAGAAAAATATACTGCTAAACAGGCAAGTTTCTAATCTTTTTACCTACCAAGCTCATTTCTTTGGATTTCAAAGAAGTGGAACTTCCTGATGAGGCCGTGGATGCTGGGCTACTTGAAGCATCTTTTTTCAGCAGGCGGTTTTTGTCGATTCCATTTTCCCGGGGTGAATGGGCAGGGCTTGCCCGTGGAGACGAAGGGTCCTCAATAGGCATAATCAAAAGTATTTATGATTTAGCTTACAGCGAGCAGACTTCCCTTTACACATGCTACTTCTCTAAAGTGAAGGGAAAAGCTCAAGGGCCAGCCAGGTGGCATGGTGGTAATGGTGGCTAGGTCCCACATGGCTGAGTGTGTGGTTTGAGTCCCAGAACTGTGGCTTGGAAAATACACAAGGTGTGTGCATGTGGCCCAAATCCCAAGAGAACAGGAGAAGAACTGCAGCCTGGCCATCTCCTGGGGGGGAGCGGGGGAGGGTGATTTCTTTCTCTCTCTCTCTGTCTTTCTCCAGTGAGTGCACCCACCCTATAATAAAAACTAAAAGAAAAAAGAATGTCCTAAGTTCTTCAACTTAGGAGTGTGCATTGTGACTAACAATGCTACTAAAAATTGCTGGGTGTGTTTGCATGTGTGCCCAAAATCCCAAGAGGAGAATGGAAGAGAAGGGACTGTGGCATATTCATCCCCCACAGAAGGTGATTTCTCACTTTCTATCTGTCTCTGTGTCTTAGGCAAGTACACACATGCTGTCGTAGAAATAAAAAAATAAAAAATATATATATATATACACACACACACACATGTACACACACACACACACACACACTTGAACAAGATGTGTTTACAAACACACCACAAAGTGCACAGTCAATCCTATCGCTTCATGCTCTGGTGCTTTGCTCAGAGGACACTGGAAGGCTAGGGGAGTCAGATGCCCAGCTTAGGAATCCAAAATGACTACGGAAACAGGCTTTTTCTTAAAAGGAAACAAACGTTCATGTCACTTAGACCATTACAGCTCTGCACATGAACAACCATTAAGTTCTTAATGTATGAAGCTGTGAGAGACCAAAACTCGTGTCTTTGTGTCATTCATTCACTGTTGGATTTTTCTCACAACACTACTTTAAATCACTCTGAAGATAAGTTTGATGAAAAGAATGGTTACCTCGTTAGACACATCCACAACTAAATTGTCATCACTTTTGTCACCATCACTGTCCTGAAAAACAGAAATTTTAAATTAATTTCTTTTCCTTTCTGTTCTTAAGGGAAAGAAGAACAACAACAAAAAAAACAGCTAGTAAGTACATGTGAGTACATGCCATCTTCCTATTTCAGCCACAGAAGCAGCTGGGGTTATAGGCTTGTGTTACTCTACTCAGCTTTAGGGTGGGTCAGGAACTGAACTCGGGCCTTCTGTGTGACCTTAGTCTGTAAAACAGTAATGTCTCACCAAAGACTGGATCTAAAAAATAATAATAAATTTTAATGTCATTTACTAATGGCTGAGAATGGGTTGGAGGCCCTGTTAAATGTCTTTCTACAGTTCTTGGTAGTAGGCCTGGAAGCTCACTTTCATATAGCCAACCCAGGTCATTGATAGAGCGTCTCCCTCTTTTCATTTGACCTGGGGCTCTGCAACGCTCCAGCCAGGGATTCCACTGAGGTAGCAAACCAGCTCTCCAATCTCAACTTGCTCACTGGTGATGCTGAGTTGCCAGTACTTAGCACACAGTAAGAGCTTACCAAGTGTTTGTAACGGCCAAATCTCTCCTGTGACATGAAACCCACATATCCTTATCAGAACTCTTTTTATATTTGATTTCAAATAAAGTACATGATTTCATGTCATTGTTTTTTTTAACATGTTATCAACTTGAAAACAGTCAGCCAATCTGGTGCTCATAGACAACTCATAGAGACACAAATTTATTTAACTCTGTGTTCCTATGAGGTTAATGGTACTGTGAGAAATGAAACAAATGAACAAGTTAAAAAGGCCAAGCTGGGGTCAGAAGATGGTGTGGTATTTAGGGCAGTGGACTCCCACATGGCCAACTGAGGTTCAAGTTCCAGACCTGGACAGTTGCATTTTCACTTTCTCTCTCTCTCTCGTGCACATACCCTATAGTAAATTTTTAAAAAGATAATAATAATAATAATAATAAATAAATTCTTAAAAAACAAAAACAAACAGGCCTAGCTGTATTGGTGCAAGTTGGAGGAGATGGGCAGTAACTGAGACTGCCTCCTACGCTCAAGTTCAGCTGGGGTACAATGAGTGGTGTGTCTGTGGTCCTCACTAACTGAGGGGTTTAGGCAGAAGGACTACCAAGTGGGGTTGGGCCCTGAGGGCAGTAGTCCAGTGCAGTGCATCGGGAACAGGATCACACATGGCTGACAAGAGTTCTAATCCTAGCCCCAGCACTTGAAAAAAAACACCTAGTGCATGTGAGTACAGGCCCAAAATCCAGACTGAATGAAGAGATGGAGAAGGGACTATGGTTTGACCATAATCCATTGGGGATTATTCTCTCCCTCTCTGGCAATTGCATATGCCCTCTAGCAATTAAAAAGTTTTTAAATAAAAAAGATCACTATGTGCCAAGATCCTATCAAATGATACCTATTCCTGGGCTAGGTGGTGTTGGTGTAAATGGCTAGATCCCAAGGCAGCAGGTGGTGTGGTGGCTAAAGTGCTGGACTCTCACACGGCCAACCACAGCTCAAGACCCAGACCCAAAAGCTTGAAAATCAAGGTAGGCAGATGTGCATGCATGCCCAAAATCCTGGGAAGAGAATGGAGAAGAAATTGTGGTGTGGTGATTTTTTACTTTTCCTTTCTCTCTCTCTCTCTCTTTCATGAGTACATCTGCGCTATGGCAAAAACCTAAAACAACTAAAAAACAAAACCAAAAACTAATAGAAGACTGGATCCTACATGACTGACTTTGTAGAGCAGGTCCCAGCAGCTTAAAAACCACACCAGATACATGTACATGCATGCACAAGATTCCAAAAGTAAAATGGCGAGGACTACAGCAATGATCATCACACCTGGGGGTTGCTTTCTCATTTTTCCTCACCTTCTCCTTCCCCCTCTCTCTGTCTCTCTCTGGCAAGTAGAACATGCCCTACAGCAAATTAAAACACAACAACCAAAAATAGATACTCATCTCATCCCCTCCCCCATTTGTCATTGAATTTGCAGAACAAAACAAAGTTAGCTCTGGATAGAATAAGAAACCAAGATCTAATCTCATGTTAAGAATAATCATCACTAGCCAACAGCTTGGGTTATTTTTGGAGATGAAGGCAGGTATGGTCATATCTGGACGGCGTTGGCACCCTACAATGGGACTTTCATTGTCTCTTCAAAAAATTTGCTTATCAGAGGAAACTCCAAGGTTGCAAAGAATTTGGAAAAGATTCAGAAAAGCTGTTCAAATTAATGACGCATCACTTCTATGTCAAATTAGGGTAGGTTGAAAATGTCTACTTTCTTAGCCAAAGGACTTATGCCTCTGGAAAGAATAAGACAACAGATATATGGGAAAGGAAAGGCATCTCGAAGAGTCTGAATTTTTGAAAAGTAGCAGATCCCTAATGTATGCTCTAATTTTCTTACTGATGTCTTTGTAAATTAAAAATATCCAGATAATTTTGGAGAAATACTAGTATGACCAAGTGTAAATATTATGCATGGTGGCCTTCTGTAGGCCCCAGTTCAGGCAAGAAAGTTACCCTTAGTTTTAAATTCAGGTCTTACAGGTTTTTTAGATCAGTTTACTTTCTTCAGTTGTGTGTTTCAAGGTGCACTTGTAGTAAAGGAAAAAAAACACTAAATAAAATTTGTTTTCTCTTAGTAAAGCCCAAAGAAAGGCACAAATGTTCCCAGGTTTTTAAAGATAGTGGTAATGTAATAAAGGAGTTTCCCTTTTAAGAAGAAAGTTATTAAAACAGTATGTAGTATATAAATTGAATGGCAAGGAGCAGCAAACAATTACATAATAACCATGGAACTCTGAAGTGAGTCCTTTAGTTTCTATAATTTAAATCGTAGCTTTGTATTGAACCCTTCTGCAAATACAAACCTTCACAGTACTGGGTACTAAGATCTAAGGTCCAAGTCCTTTGACCCAAATTCTCCAACATAATCTCAAGACATTGCAACACATTACCTATACAAAGAGACATACTTAGTACAAGCAAGGTTACAAAACCAGGATGCCATGCTATGATTCTGCATCACTGATTACGTACATGAGCATCAGAACACCTTGGAACACTGCATGTAAGCAAATTTCCCAATTTCTGCATGTAAGCAAATTTCTCAATTTCTGCATGTCAAGAACCTTCTGACTTGCTTATTAATATGTAATGTCCCAAATGAAAGCACATGTGTGGGATATCGGCTCTGGGCAACAGACAGGGAGAATGTTATGTGCTAGGAAGTTTTGGGCTGACGTGGGGAAAACTAACAACTTTGGTTCTTAGGCTATTAGTAAATAGATATAGTAAATAGATGATAGTATACGATATTAGTATAGTGCAAAATGGAGAACTATTCAAAGACTTCTGGCAAAATACCCAACCCAACCCTAGAACCAGGTGAATGGAAGCATGGATTCTGGAGCTGGGCTGCCTCCAGGCTTTGCTACTAATTGTGACTGGCAGTAAAGCTCACTTAAAAGTTCCTGCTGAGGGACCAGCAGTTAGCGTAATGGCTATGTCACTGGATTCCCATGTAGTTGCCCGCAGTTCGTGTCCCGGACCCGGTGTCTTAAAACTCACGCTGGGCATGTGTACGTGCCCAAGATCCCAAGAGAAGAATGGAGGTGAAGGGACTGCAGTGTGGCCATCCCCCCTGGGCGGTGATTTCTCGCTTTCTGTCTCTGTCTGGCGAACGCACGCGCCCTATAGCAAAAAAAAAAAAAAAAATACTCTCCAAAAAGAAAAAGAAAAACAAAAAAAGTTCCTGCAGATTCTTTATCTATAAAATGAAGATGATGGAGCCAAACTCATCAGGTTGTTTTAAGAGTTACATGAAATAAGCCACATAAAAGCACAGAATACATAGCACTAACTCAAGTTGATGACAGAGAGAGACAGAGAGACAGAAAGCGAGAAATCACCCCCTGGGGGGATGGTCACGCCACAATCCCTTCTCCTCCATTCTCCTCTTGGGATCTTGGACACGCACGCGCACGCAACTGGTATGAATTTTAAGCCACCGGGTCCGGGATGCAAACTGCGGTCGACTACATGGGAGTCTAGCAACATAGCCATTACGCTAACTGCTGGTTCCTGACCTAATAGGAACCTGAACACATTATCAGAAGAGTCCCAAAACTTATTTTATGATACTGAAAGTTTTATTCAATTTTAGCCGGTAAGAAAATCAAATTTCAGAGTCCAGGACAACATGAAAATGCACAGACCTTATTCAAATCTTGAGAAGTCAAAGATGATGTGACCAGAACATTACACCAAGGGTGCATAGAGCCCTTCTAAGAGCTAGGCCCAACTGCAAAGCCCGTGAAGTCAATCCGCACCTTCCTACTCTTGCTTACAAGTCACAAAGGTGGATAGTCTAAAATGTGCTATTCAACCAGGCAGGAGCATAATTTTCAGTCCTAAAGAGAAGTAATATCCAGTAATACAAAAAACCTATTCTCTTTATAGTGTTACTTTAAGGGGTGTAGAATTGTTAGGAAGATCTAGAGCATGCTTGGACACTTAGAAGGTAAGCGGCGAGAAAACAAATATTACTTCAAGTCCTTTATTTACTTACATAATGGCTGGAGTCCTTATCATCCACTTTCCTTTTCTTTATGTCGTTGGAAAATTCAGGCCCGTTTCTGCGTTTATCTGTGCCTCTAAGACTGTCTGGGACCAGGAGGGCATTACTCTGCAAGACAAAAAAAGTTAATCAAAGATTTCTTTCCAAGCCTCTTTGCACACAATGAAAACCCAGCCTGATGTGAAAACTGTTTTAGAAAGGTTGATACCTATACAGCTTTTTATTCCATTTGATTCATCTCATCTAAAGCCTTTGATGGCCAACATTGATAGAGATTTATGTACTTAAAGGGGCCACTCCAACTTTGCAACTGAACCATCCAAAGCCTGGTAGATCCCTTCTATTTGATGTACTGTTAGAGAAACAGGAGCATATTGTTTGTATATTGGATGTGTTTGTATTCTTTCCCACTGTGACTTCCTGGTCAGAAATATGAATGGCCTATGAGCCAATCTTGAGATTACTCTATTAGACATATTCTGTAACTGTAAGAGTCAATGTGTACCACTCTAAAAAGACACAAAAGAAGTGGTGGGATTAACAGCATGGCTTCCTAAAAGGCAAATCACATTTTCTACAGCAACAATGGAGGAACTCTTTTGAATTCTTTTAATTTATTGTTGAAAGTAAGATTTGGTGTTCCTTGCCAACACCACTGAAATTTAAGAGCCAAAGCGGGAACTTCAGCCAGTGAATCTTCAATAGCAAGACCAGCTCCCCCACAAACACACAAAGGCAGGGACAAGGACTAATCTTTTCCACAAACCACACAGGACACCCTCATTCACATATGCTGAGTGCGAACTATTGACCCAAAGAAAACAGGCATTTTAGATATTTGGGGGTCACATGACATGATCTGACATCCCTTCAATTCCCATCTCCCCTCAGGCTAAAGCATCAGAACATGTTACAATGAGTTCTTTTAAGTGCGGGATTAGCATATGCAAGGGGGCAATTTGTTCAGTGATGTGTTACTGCCTTGAACAATGCTGAGTGAGCTGTGCAAAACCTCCTTTTACAAAGCCCAGTAACCCCAATTTCTAAAAGATGTTTGAGAACTAAGAGGGGAGTGTCCAGGGCCAATACACAAGCATGCTACCTTTCTCTGCCACAATTTAAAACAGAAGGGGGAAGGGAAACCTTTACATTAAACCATGTCTAATGCAATGGTCTGTACTGGGAACAAATGCTATGGTACATTTTTTAAAGCCAGGAGTTTTCGTTCCTCACCAGCCAGGTAGCTGCTTCTCAAAGCTCCCCTTGAAGAAGTGGACCCCAGCATGAGAGCATTTACAGCTCAAGCACATGCAGGAAGAAATCAAAACTGGGGACCAGAAGGCAATCTGAAGCCTCTTGGCCCACTTCAGGGGCTGACTCTAAAGGGAGCTGAGCTCTTTTATTCATGACTGTTCAAGCTACACAAATGCCAGGAGGCTTAGATAAAGGTGGGAGGGACCAACGCAATTCAATAGAGAGAAGCACAGAGTAATGTCTTTACTACAGTATTTGGGGCTGAAAGGTGAGCTGGCTGGATCCCTGAACTAATTACCTTGATAAATGTCTGCTAAAAACTCACCCGGGTGACCCAGACCCACAGCCTGACAGAGGAAACAAGAGACATAGGAAACTCCAGCAAAGTGCTCTAACATACCCTGTAAAGCTGAGCCTTGGGAGCAGCGGCCTGCTCACAGACATGCAAAGTATTGAAATACACCTGTCTGTTCTAGATTATTTTAGGCATGCTAAGTGTTTAAAAAACACCTGTCTGTTCTAGGTTACTTTAGCCCTGAGGTCTTCTCATACAGACTCTGAGTCGATGCTCCAGGACAGGACTCGACCGTCCCTAACTTTACATCTACCCAAATGCCGGGCAAAACGTGGCATAGAGTCAGCGTCTGCGGGTAATTTTAAGTCTCTTTCCACAGGCTTGCTTTGGTAGCCCTCCTGCTGTAATTAGCACTGGGCGTCCAAACCACTCAGCCATTCCAAGAAAGCTTTTTAATGTCTGTCTTTTTTTTTTCTTTTAGTGATGTCAAGTGGTATTGTGAACGTAAAAGTAAACTGCACTTCTGTGAGGAACAATCCAATTTCTGTTAGAAACAATAACGTTTCTACGGCTGGACCTTTAAGACTGTTGAGCTCTGGGGCCTCCGCGTCTACATGCTACAAGTTACTACTGTAATTTCCGCTTCAACAGCTTAAATGAGGCCTATAATCTGAATGGCTTTTGAAAAGCTCTGAAAGTTCTTCTAAATTTGGACAGGGCTAGTAATTAGCACCCCTGCTTGTCTGAAAATCGGCCCTATTCAACTGGCAGACTTGAACAAGTTACGAAACAAGATGTCTCATCATACCTTTGATGCTGTAAAACTGATTCAAAACAAGGCAGCAAAGAGTGTGGGCTAGAATGGCTGAGAGAGCGACTGTCAGCCCCTGGGGGGGCTCTGGTTCAAGTTGCTGCCTGACACCTGGCAGGCTTTCTGCTTAAAGACCATCCCACCAAAAACCACTTCCTTCTACTCTTGTTCCCATGAACCCAGTTTTCTGTGTTTAATTGCTCCCGTCCCCAACTTCTTCCAGGACTCAGCTTTTGTTGCTGGTACGAATATAAGCAAATAGTTCCAGCCTGAAGCAACAACAACCATTCTGATTTTTCAACTACTGCCTAGGAGGATCCTTACCTTCATGGTGCCCTCACTTGCTCCCAGAAACCCAGTGAGACTCTGGAAGCATTACCGCCATATCTAGATACCAAAAATATCTTTCCTTCATGCTGTCTTTTCCTCATGTACTATTTGTTCCTTATGGTTCGAGAGTGGAATATAGTCACTTTGATAGTCACTGGAAGTGCTTTTATAAATAACTTAACAATTAAGAGACTATACCTGGGTATTGAATGAATATCTGTAACTCTTGGATCTGAGGATTCTAAGTTAGCCAAGTCCAAATCTAACCAATCCAAGCAACATTTACAAAAAGACCATCTGGGAAACAATCACACCGAGGAGCCTTCATGTTAAGTTATTTAGAAAGTCATACATTCCAGGGGCCAGCAGGTAATGTGGTGATTAGGGCCACTGGACTCCCATGTGGCCAGCCACGATTCGAGTCTTCCATTCTCAGGCCAACCACGGTTCGAGTCTTCCATTCTCGCTTTCTCACTCTCATTCTTTTTCCCTCCCTGCCCCCTCTGGTCAAATTAAAATAAGTACATAAAAAAAATAAAGTTAAGATATAAAATAATTCTTAAAAAAAAAAGACATACATTCCAAACACTGAAGATAGTTAGAATCAAATCAGGGAGGGAACCAAAGCACAGTTCGGAAGACACATTGCTTCTGTTCCCCATCTCAGTTTCATCTGAAGGACTATGCGTCCAGAGAGAGGAGGTGAGGTGCTTAAGGCAAAGGTCTTTCCACCACCTGGCAATCCCCATTATGCCAAAGTGCCTCCCGCTCCCAGATAAGTGACTGTTAGACTCGGTTTCTGTACACAGGATACTTGTCACAGGTCTTTAAGCCACACTCCACTTAACATGCTAATGTGACGTCATAATGCCTGCTGTGTTTTCTCTGACTCCACACCCCCTACTAACCATACCACACACACACACACACACACACACACACACACACACACACAGTCCCTTGATTGAGCTGCTTCTATGCCCACCACCTCAAAAATGTGAACACATAATTTTTCTTAAAAGGGACACTTTACAAAAAAAAGACAATTTTACACCCTGCTTTTAAAGACACATTGCAGTGTCAGAAAAGTCATGATGCATTATTTGCATAGAAAAACATAGGAAAAAATACATGATGGCTTTTCCAACGACCCAGGTAGAACATCTACCTTTTTATTCATGAATCCTGTCGCTCATGAACCAAGATGAACGCTGGAAAAGACCTGAGCCGAGAGCGAGGCGGTGGCCCAGGCACACACGGCACAGCTTCCGTGTGCTGCCAATCACTGGATAATAACTCCACAGACCAATTTTCACTGTAGATGTCTTATCCCAGAGTCCATATTTGGAAAGATTTTAATCCGACAAATAGCATTCATCAAGTGAATTCATTTTTCAAATATTTATTTGCCAAATAAATATTTAATTGTGAATCAGAACTTTTTGATCAACATGAGAACCAGTGTTACCACATTGAAGGATAGACTTTAATTCTAGCCAAGAAACTCAATGTTTTCTTTCACCTTGCAGCTGGTAAAATTTAAATATCTGCCAGGAATTTTCAAACACTGTAAATACTGGGCAGACTTCTATTACAAATGTCCTGAGGACGGGGATTTCCAGGCTGTATATAAGTTTTCCTCTGTTTTAAAATTTCATTAAGATATAAACAAAATCATCTTATTTACCTTATATCTTCTATAGGAACTCAAAATAGAAGTTATACAGCTGATGGGGATATTACAAACCTAAGCAAATCAAGATCAGAAAGCACACTGTTTTCAAAACAAACTAAAATTCTAGAACCATTAATACTTTTCTACACCTTAAGTGCTCCACATGCCAAGTAAAACACAAGCATATCTAATGGTCTGAATCCCGCCCCCCAGATGCTCAGTACTAGAGACAAAAAGACGACCCAGAAGTTACGTTAGTTACGATTTTCTCTCTACTCAGAAATAGAAATGACCTAACCATGAGATGACTAAATGAGATGCAAGAAGGGAGGAAAAAATGCTCCACAAGAAAAAGGAACCTCCACCTTTTTAAAAACTCTGGAATTCCTTAATAATATCAAACCGTTGGGCAAGCAGATGGCATAAGGGTGCTGGACTTCCACATGCCAACCGCGATTCAAGTCCCAGACCTGGAGGCTGTAACTCATATTGATCGCATATGTGCCCATGCCCAAAATCACAGAAGGGACTGGAGCATCCTTAAGATGAAACAGGGATGGGGAGAAGGAATGATCTCCCAGAAGAAGAGATTAGGGCATTGCCATCTCTCCTGGAGGGTGATTTCTCACTTTCTCTCTGTGTCTCTGGTGAGTATGAGCACCCCACAGCAAAAATCTCTCGTAAAAACAATAGGAGCCAGCAGATGGTGTAGCATCTATGTCACTGGACTCCCACATGGTGAA